TTTATTTTGCTAGAAATCTGGTTGTTTAAATGTGTGTTGGGGTTTGTTTCCAGAATGACTCTCTACTGCTGGTCAGCAGATTTTGGTTAAATGCATGATTTTTAACCTCTTCAAAAAAATTACCTGTGTATAGTGAAACCCCTATTTTTTTGGCATAAAAAGCATGATAAAAATTGCACTAGACTCAAGTATATATGGTAAGTGAATTTCTTTGTGTAATCAGAAAATTGGGCAACTTAGAAAGAAAAACTGGCTTTTGAGAGCATAAAACAAGAAAATCAGTCTGAAATGAAAATGTGTCATTAGCGTCACTGAAGTAAACTTCATTAATTTACTTTTGACATTTTCTGTTGAATGCTAGCCAAAGAAGTATTCCTTAATTTTGCTTGCCACCCAATATGATCGCATGGACATTCAGGGTGATCACATTTGGAACTGTGGTATTGCACTCACTTTGAAAGTGGGAGATTAACATGATAAATAATGATATAAAATATCTTTTTCCAAATCATTACTGTTTTTAGAGGAAATGAATTTAAAGATTACATTTAGGTTCAAAATCTTAGCATTGGAATTAAATTCTGACGATCAGGGAAAGTCTTATAACAGTCTCATAAAATTTATAAATTTTTTGAAGCTTTATAAATTGTATAGAGACAATGTTAATCAATGTGAAGTTGTCTCCCTTGTACCTTCTTCATGAGTGAGGTACAATTGAGGTGGAAACGCTGGGGGTAGCTACAGTTTGTTATCACCATGAGGTGTTCGAAGGTCACTGAATAAATTCTTTCTCTCCACACACATCCTGTTGGAGTCATTTATTTGAATTCACAGACAAGATGCATGGCACAAGCACATTGTTACTAAATCATTGTGTCATCAAATAACATCTTCATTTACTTCAAAGGAAAATTATACTGAACAATTTAATTATATTTGATGTAATGGAATAACCAGTCACCCCCATGAATGATTAAACTATAGGTAGTAAGTACTTATAAAGTCAACTGTCTACAAGAGACTCAAGAACACAGAGAGTATGAGTGAGAGAGACGACGCAAGCATGTCCGACCTTCCAATTAGTGGCACTCACTACTAGATTGACCTGCACCGTATTTCATATTGTACTTGTTGTGTACAATAAACCTTTCTTCTAGTATCCACCTGGTATTATATGTTTATTCCCTTAGAACGGAATATAATAATATTATTTAGTGCAATAGTTTTAATGTGATTTTCACTAAACAATGCAAATTTTAAAATTTTGTCTTATAATTTGTGCCAGGAGTATTATGGTGTTATATATACTTTTATCTATTGTTTTTTATTAATTATGATATCTAACAAATGACTGAACAAATCTTATTCATTAAGAAGCCATTTTTGTAATCTTTTACAATTTCTTTACACAGTTTTACCTATCAAATACAATAAAAAAAAATTGCATATTTTGCATGTGGTGATTCATAATTAGAATTCTAGCTTGAATATATTTTCCATTCAATGTATCTAATGCAAAAATATCACCTTTATTTGGATTTATTCTTGAAATAGTAAAGTTTTGAATTCAGTTTCTAAGCAAAAACCTGTGGAAAATAGGTATTTCTGTACATTTTTGCAAATGATATTTCAAGCTAAATGCTCAAAAATTGGTAAAAGCTTTGGCGTCAGAAATTATCACATCAAATGCTAGTTTTCACACTGAATTCAATGTTGATTTTCTAAATCAACCTGCCCTAATAGACATACATACAAATTGATTCTGCAGTTCAACTCTGTTGCATATACTTAAATCTATTACAATAAGTAATATAGGAAGTTTGATATATTCAAACTGGCGAGAATTGCTTTTTTCATGTGCAGTTATATTATTTACATTTGAACTAACATCCTCATCTATCACTATGTCTTGACTATTTTGCCCACTTGCCTTCTTCAAGTGCTTGTTGCTCTGGGTAACCTTCAAGGAATTTCAAACCAAACCCATTCTTTCATCTATGCAGACAGATTGCTCTTGGTCTGCTGTTCATGTCTATGAATATCTTGTCTCAGTTACTGCTAGCCTTGTTTACACTGTTTCTAAACCAAGGATTGAACTATAAATATTACCATACCATAAAGATTCATGGAGTAACACTTTAATTCACTAGGCTACTGTCCTCTCATACCAGAAATTCAGACAATATATATGGTTTGGCTTGTTGTGTTTTATGGCATATCAACCTCAATAGGTTATATAATGCTGACAACTTTTTTTTTCCTGGTAATATCTTGTTTTGTCAAAAATCTATTTCTGGTAATATTTTTTTTCAAAAACGTATAGCTGGTAATATTTTTTTCAAAAATATATTGCTGATAATAGTTGTTTTCCTTTACAAAGTATTTCTGGTATTAAAACCTATTTTTACACTTTTATAATGCTTTTTACCTCAGTTTTGGAGTTAGCTATTTGCTCATAGCTGGGACCTTAACAGGTGCTACCACTCTGGGTCAGGGTGGACCTGGGAAACCAGCAATTAAAAGGTGGTTCCATGCTCCTCAAAATCTCCTGATCAGAGGCCTTGCTGTTGAACATAGTTTATTGTCTTACTCAGG